ATCACAATCAATAAAACTATCTAAAAGATATTGTAGAATCCAATAGAATCTACTAGGCTTCCTTAAGACTAAAAATTGGAGGTCTCTAGTTCAAAACCTGTTGCTGGTGTGGAAGCCAAACTTATAGCCAGGGGGAGGCTGAAATACCTCTGTGAGTCTTCCTAGCCCCCATAAGGGGTGGATAACTATGGCTTGTCACCAGTTGTCTTGTCCCCCTTTTTGAAAAAAATAAATAAATAGAATTTACTAGGATTTACACAATCATACTCCTAATTAAATTAGGTATACAACAAATTTTTTTTTTTTATTTCTCATATTTTCACCCATAGATTATTCTAAAATACTACTATATATAGAAATACAATTACCATACATAGATTAGAATGTATCAAATGATAATTCTAGAATACTACAATAGAATCTGTATAAAATCAAAATAGGTGATGGGTACAAAAAAAATCAAAACTGGGAAGTTGGTGTGAAATTATAAAATGAAATTTGGTTATTAACATATATGGAATAAATAAAATTGAAATTGAAATTTACTAAAACAAGTAGGGAAGTGGGTGTAAAAATAACGACTATTTGTGAAAATTTTGATGATTAAAGTTTTAGTTTTTAAATACTTATCGTGTTGGATGAATATTACTCGCAATCTACGTCGTAATAACGTCCAATGTGTGCATGAATAATCTGTCAATTTCATGCACATGCAACATGCAAATTATAGAATTTGCTTCATTATTGCTGCGAGCAAACTAAAATATTTGGAGCCCTGGCCTTCTAAAAACGCATATAATTCACTTTTTTTTCTTTTCTTTCTTGGATTGTATTTAACCAACATACGGAGTACATGATATGAGTCATATATATGCATAATTTTTTTCTCTGAAGAAAAAAAATGAAAACCTAGACTGATGTATTTTGCCAATACTCTATATTTTTAAGAGAGACTATACATAACCATTGAGAGATCAATTCAATTATACTTATATCACATTAAGCTATATAATTTATTTTTAAACATCAAATTGGTAAATGATTTCATGACTCTCAAGTGCAATTTGGGATTGAGGTGATTAAAAAAAAAGCTACTATGAAAAAAAGCTATGAGAATTTTTGGTGTTTGGTAAACTTTGAAAAGCAGCTTTGTTTCAAAGTTTGGGGTGAAAAAAAGCCCAAAACCTGAAGCTAACAAGAAGTTGTAAATAGCAGCTTCCAAAAACAGCTTATTTTCAAAACACACGGGTGAACAGTGTACGTTTAATGAAATATTGAATAACCCAAAATTGCCCTCCTTTCCCTTCACCTACGCTCTCACCTTCAGAGCTCTCGCACATAACCCGAACCAGGAGAAAACCACTTTCTTGTTCGCTTGTTCTCTCGTTCTCCAGGTTTCTCCAGGTTCCTTTGGTAAGCTTCTCTTGTAAAAATTTGTTATTTATTTGTTTGGATTTTTCAAATTGGGGATGGGGAGATTAGGGAAAGAGGGGTGGGAAGAGCAAAGGGATGAGGGTATGGATGTCGGGAAAAACAATTGGGGATGGAGGGTGGGGAAAAATTAATTGGGGAAGGTGATATGGTTTGTGGAAAAAATTAATTGGGGAAAAAATTAGGGTTTGTGGAGGAAACAAAAAAAATTGAGAGAGAAGTTTGATTACTTCTGTATTCGTTTTTTTAAAGAAGGTCTGCTTCTGATTTGGGTTTATGTAAGGGATGATTTCTTATAAAGCTTTGCTCTGCTTCTAATATGTGAAATGTGCTTCTGATTTGTCATGATTCAGCTCACCCTTCTACGACGCCGTTTCATTGTCTTCTTCAAGCTCTCGCAGTCTCTTCTGAAATTCCAACCTCCAGGTTCGTATCTTATCTCTCTCCCCTGCTATCGTGTTTTATATTTTTTTTTTTTCTGAATTCTTCATTTATGCTATTTGTTTTTTTTTTTTTTTCTTCTGAATTCTTCAGTCAACCATTACATAAATTTGGTTATGGAGAGTTTCTGAATTCTCCTGCAAACTTGGTTTGGTAGTTGTGTAACAGATCATGGTCTGTGTGTGTTACGGTCTGTATGTATTATAGTGAGGATTACACTCTTGCCAAATGTGTCTATTATGGTCTGTGTGTGTGTGTGTGTGTGTCTATTATGGTCTGTGTGGGTTTCATTCGGTTTCTTTTCAAACAATGCAATGCAATGCATGTATGCCTAAACAGAACCATATGCTTTGACCTGCTTAGCTATCCCTTAATCTACTGCAGTGTCTTACTTTTGCTATTTAAGATTAAAAAAAACTTGGATAAAACCTGATCTACTGCAGTGTCTGTAATTTCCAATGTTTCTAATTGGTCCACATGATCTACATCGTCAATTATGACTATTACCACTCTGCTTCGAAGTTTTTTTATTTTATCAGATTAATACCTCTATGAACATCACCAACCTCCATCTTGGTTGGTTTGAAGATATCAGAAAGAAGCTTTTCTTGCAAATTCGTCATGCCATTCAATTCCTTTGCAGTTTCCTTAACATTTGCAAGGAAACTTTTGTACTCAAAGCTATGGTAGAACTTGTTATAGATGGCTTTTGCAACTGATGTTTTCCCCATTCCACCCATGCCACAAATTCTGACCATTTGAACATCGTATGATCCCTTAAGCTGTTAATCTCGTTCACCCGAGAATCTATTCCTACTTGGTAGACAGCTACATTTTAATGTGGTATCGAGTTGCTTGATCTCGCCAATAATTCTTCTGATAAACTGCGCCTCATGCCTGTCAATTAGATTTATAAGCATATGCAGTACACATTCTTCAATTCCTTCTGTTCCCTAATAAAAAATAGTGAATAAGGAACAGGTTAGTGCATATGTTCAATAATGAATTACATACAAACATCTGCAGTTGTTATTCTGTTGTATTATATGGAACCAAGTACTTATAGATTTCCCTCTCATCCTCATCACTTAGTGCATCAAAACTTTAAGTATTGAACACTTCTTGTATTATATGGAACCAAGTACTTACAGATTTCCCTCTCATTCTCTTGTATTATATGGAACCAAGTATTATATGCAGTTGTTATTCTCTTGTATTATATAGAACACTTCTTGTTAGTTCACTGTGTTCTTCATTAGGACAGGAATTTTGAAAGGCATGCCAACTAAAGAGCTCAAGAGCTTCTTCTTCCTTCATTTTTCGAGCCAGATATATTATATTAACTTCAACTTGCTCCAGTAGGTGTCGATCTCTGGTTGTAATAAAAATTTTACTTCCTCGACCAAAGGAGTCCCGAGCTATAGCTAAAGCATTTAAACACAACTGCAGTAAGGGATCATTTTTATATGTATGTATGTATGTATGTAATTTGGTGCTGCTGAAATTGTTTTTACAGGAAAATAGCTGCATACCTGTTTTAGTTTTAAATTTTCTTACACTTCCCGAACTCAAAAATCAATGAAATTTTGATACAACTTTAGTTTCGGGTGTCTACTTTGGATCTGGAAATTTTCACGTGTTTTGGTTGCACGAGCTATTTTTGGTGAATTTTACGGTTCAGGTCACTTTTGTTATTCTCTTTTGGTTATATTTATAATTCGCTCAACTTTGCTGGCTACATGCTCTCAATCATTGGGGAAAATGTAAATTGGATTCGCAGTTCCACTGTCATAGTTTGCCTCAATTTCACAGTTAGTCTGTCAAACCCGTGTTTCTGTTTATGATGAGTATATATGTGTGCTTCAAGACATTTGATTTAACAAAGAGGGTTTTCTTAGAAATGAGATCAGATTCTTTCTTCATTATTTAGAAAACCTGTGAAGGGGAGATACATGGGTAATGCTACTTTTGTCTGTGTTTGATTGGTTTTTGCCAAAATTGATCTTTTTCTAACGAGCGAATAGTATGTTCTCCAAACTACTATTGGTTTCTATTTCAGGAAAATGTCTTTAAGCTGCTTGAGAAACAACAATTGTGTTACGTAGCATTGTTTTTATGTCCAATGATTGACTGGTTATAAACGCCTTATGAAACGACATTGATTGTATATATAATATAAAGCCCAAACATCAATTGTAATATAAAGCCCAAACGTCTTTGGTTGTCGTCTTGTTGATAAGTAAAGTTTATTCTGTTCTGTATTTTCCTTTTCAGCACACTTATCGTTGTATCGTGTAACCGTAGATTATCTGTTTCCCTTTGAGTTGGCCCACACCATAAATTTATAGAACCCAAACTGTGATGTAATCATTTATTGGTTATGTATGTATATGTATTTATATGTATGTATATATACAAATTGTGAACCAAAATTGTGGTGTAATCTTTTGTATGTATATTTATGTATATGTATTACAAACTGTAATCTCTTGTATTACAAACTGTGAACCCAAACTGTGATATTGTCGACGATCATGGGCTTCAGTGACTGCTATGTACACAGTGAGTGTACGTGCACGCACACAACACCCTGAGAAGAAGCCTTTTTTCCCTGTGTTAATTCTGTTCCTATCATTAAGGCTCGTGGGAGAATCATCTATTGGCTATTTCTTGATATATATATATATGTATGTATGTATGTATGTATGTATGTATGTATGTATATGTATGTATATATATAAACTGTGAACCCAAACTATGATGTAATCTTTTGTATGTATATGTATGTATGTGTATTACAAACTATAATCTTTTGTATTACAAACTGTGAACCCAAACTGTGATGTAATCATTTATTGGTTATTTCTTGATATATATATATATATATATGTGTGTGTGTGTGTGTGTGTGTGTGTGTGTGTGTGTGTGTGTGTGTATTTATATGTATGTATATATACAAACTGTGAACCCAATCTGTGATGTAATCTATTTGTAGTTGTATGTGGATCATTTATTGGTTATTTCTTGGTTATATTACAATATCATTTGTTCGTGTTTTAATATATATATATATATGTATGTATGTATGTATGTATAGATACAAATTAGTAGTTGGTATTGATGGCAAAGAAGGGGGCATCTTCGTCAATTCCTGTAGCTACATGGAATGCGCACAATATATCAATATTTTGTGATGTTTGCATCAAGGAGGTTGAGGCCGGACATCGTTCGGGCACTCACTTTGACAAAGAAGGATATGCAAATATTAGAGCTAACTTCAAGGCAGAGACAGGGCATGATTATGAAAAAAAAGCAACTGAAAAATAAGTGGGATGCACTTAAAAATGAGTAGAAGTTGTGGAAAGAGCTAGTTGGTAAAGAAACTGGCCTAGGGTGAAATTCAAGCAAGGGTACCGTTGATGCCTCTGAGGAGTGGTGGAACAATAAAATTCAAGTTTGTGTATTTATCTTTTAATATGTATTATGATATCATGTAATATGTATTAACCATATTCTTTCTTATTTGTAGATAAACAAAGAATATGGAAAATTGCGAAAAAAGGCATTAGTCCTGAGATGGAGGACAAGTTAGATAGGATGTTCTTGAGTACAATTGCTACCGGTGAACATGCCTGGGCACCTTCATCTGGAGTACGACCACCAGAGTCAAGAGAGGAATCTGTAGGACAAATTGATTCATATGATGAGGAAGAAACTGAGACTATGCAGGATCTAAGGCAAGCAAGTAGGAAGGGAATAAAAAGAGCAGCTAACCAAGGAGAACTGCAAAAGAAGAAGGTTGATAAGAAAGGGAAAAAAATTGGAGGTGCTGCAAAACTTTGTGGTCAAATTGACCGTCTTGTTGAAGCTTATGAAACTAGGAGTTCTGCAAACTCATTGATGAGGTTGCTGCATATAGGTAGTAGTATTCCGGAAGTGTTAGCGGTTGTTGCATAATTGCCTGGTTGTGAGCCACCTAGCGAGTTATGGTTGTTTGTTACATGTTTATTTTGTTCTGCAGAGAAGCGAGAGGTGTTTACCACGATACAAGATCCTAAAGTCCAGCTGACTTGGTTGAAATATATGTTCAACAAAGAACAATAAGAAGCTATAACTATGAATTAGGACTTTGTGTAGTTTGGACTTTGTGTAGTTTGTACTTTGCATTAAGACTATGTGTTGAATGTTGCTTGTATTTTGTGTTTATTGAATGTTGGATTATGATTTCTTGTTAAACGTTGGATTGACTTGTTCTTGAATGTCGGATTATGACTTCTTAATGATTGTTGGATTATGACTTGTGGAATGTTGAATTATGTGTTAGGTTACATGTATATTCAATATGAACACCTTTGATGATGATGTTGAGGAGTTGGAGGATGGTTTAATTATATGCGTTGTAGCGAGAGCTGTTGAAACATATTATTTAAAATATGTCCACAAAACTCCATGTATGAATTCTTCCCATACAGGTAATATTTGGTTGATGGAAGTATTACAAGGAAATGATGTGCGATGCTATAAAATGTTTAGGATGAACAAAGATGTCTTTTATAGATTATCTAATGACTTGCAAACTAATTATGGATTGAAAGGTTCAAGGAAAATGAATGCAACTGAAATATTAGGAATGTTCTTGCATATGTTGGGACATGGTGTGAAAAATGGATTAGTTCAAGAGAGATTTCAACATTATGGTGAGACTGTTAGTAGATATTTTGGTGCTATGTTGGATATCGTATGTAAGATGGCAATATATATTATCAAACCAATGGATTCGGAGTTTTGTGACATTCCCCAAGAAATAAGGAGAGATACAAGATACATGCCTTATTTTATGGTAAAGTTTGACTCGTCTTCTAACTTATTTGCAAACTATAAGTGTAGGTTGACGGTTTTCTTCTATATTATTATTTTTAGGATTGTATTGGTGCCATAGATGGAGTGCATGTTGAGGTTTCAATACCACCTCCGGATCAAGTTCCATACATTGGTAGGAAAGGAATACCGACTCAAAATGTTATGGCTGCATGTAATTTTGACATGCAATTCACATTTGCTTGTGCCGGATGGGAAGGCACTGCACATGATACAAGGGTTTTTCTATCCGTGCTACAGAATCCAAATTTAAACTTTTATAAGCCTCCAAATGGTAATCTTCATACTTTTATTATAACATTTTACATACTTGCTTTGTATAATTATTACAATACAAAACAAATTTTCAATTGTCAGGAAAATATTACTTGGTAAATGCGGGGTACCCACAAATGAGAGGTTATTTGAGACCATATAAAGGTAAAAGATATCATCTCTCAAACTTTCGTAGGGGTGCCGAACCAACGGGTCACAAAGAGGTATTCAACCACATACATTCTTCTCTTAGGAGCATCATTGAACGAACTTTTGGGGTATGGAAGAAAAATGGGCAATTTTAAGGGATATGCCTAATTACCCGTTCAATAAGCAAGTGAAGATTGTCATTACTACAATGGCTCTTCATAACTACATACGGAGGTATTCTGAACGTGATCGTCATTTTGATGATCCCAGGGACTTTTGCGAAGAAAGCGATAGTAGTGATGATGATGATGATGAATATCAAAATTATCAAGTTGAAGGATCACATGAGATAGAGGCATTAAGAAATAGAATAGCAACAAGTTTGATGAATGCTTCTAATTAGACTACTTTCAAGTACAGTAACAATATTGTACTAATGAATCCTAGCTATTCACTCTAAAATATTTCTATTAAAGTAGTTTGTCATACTAATTAATATTTAAGATAAAGTTTATAAATATTTTTCTTCTAAAAATAAAATATATTTAGTAATTCACTTTTATTTGTTAAGAAAATTAAATTAATAGCACATCTAGTATTATACCCTTTTTGGTCATTTCACACAGTCATATTTGTTTTACAAAAAAGTTTACCAAACACTATCATACTGTTTTTTTTTTTTTTTTTTTTTTTTGTTTTTCCAAAAGCACTTTTACAAAAAAAGTTTACTAAACACTTTGCTGCTTTATTTCACAGCCGCTTATTCTCACAGCACAGCCGCTTATTCTCACAGCAGCTTTTTTTCAAAGCACAACAATACCAAACCAGCCCTCAGTCTTTAAATTTAACAAATAGTTGATGCATCTATGTTTGTTCAATTTTTATCTATACATATGAAAAATAAAAATTCACATGCAAAGCATGTGTGAAAGTTCCGAGTATCATTAATGATATCATCGACCATGGACAGAGGTATAATGAAAGCCTACTGGGGTAGAAGCGCCTCCCACTCATGTAATTCATTGTTATTGCAGACTGCAATTATAGAGATACATTTGTTATATTTGAAGAAAGTATATGTATTTAATATCAAGTATGCCTTCATATCAAACATTATATAGCATTGATTCTCGATACATCATCATTTAAAACGATTCCCATTATCATATGGGGCATAAGCCATACCATAATATGGTTTTGTTATTTGTTTTTCGAGTTGCCTCCATTAGAAGAAATTTATAACTATGTCCTTGACATCGATCCTTCAACTTTTTAACAAAGTGATTCGTCAATCCAAACGTACGTAAGCCCTAATTTTATTGAGTAAATAAATCGACCTTAAAAGCTAATTGGTTCCGCTAGCGCAAAATGACATCTAACTTTAATGCACAATGTCTAATGTAGGGTGAGAAAACATATTTCAAACATGAGGTTAAATATAACTAAGCTCTTTGAAAAAACCCTATGACTATTACCTAAATTTGTAGGATGAGCAAACAATACCGTTTGAAATCGTCTAGAGTCTTCATACGATGCGTTTCGCCCTAGCCGTGAGGGATACTTGTGTTTCTTAAGCGATGAGCACTTCTCGCATCTTCGCCATACACGTACACCCTTTACCAAGATCAACGGACCAGACCATCCCACATGATGGTCGAATATGATTGGCCAAGCTCCCAGGCCTCGCAACCTGATTGGTCCACTTCATCACAAATGACATGGTTCCACGAATTGCTACCGTCCGATGACAGACACTGAGTCACAGATGCGGACAGCGTACGTATCTACCCCTATAAAATCTCGAGTGCCACGCGCGGTTCAACACTCAGAAACAGAGAACCAGAAACACCAAGGTCTCCTCCAAATTCCCCCGAGAGGTCAGAGAAGCCATCATTCATTGCATTACGATCTCGGACGCAGAGAGAAAACGCGGAGAGCTTTCGTCCCTGCGCAGACGCCATGGTTAGCTCGTGGAGAGCTCGCGGATCTCTCGTCGTGCTTGCGATCGTTACATTCGGTGAGTGTTTCGGTTTCTGAGTGCTGGATCTGGTTTTGTATTTTGTTTGAGATTTTGTGTATTCTTGTTTTTAATCGGGAAAATGCGGTGGATCTGATTGTAATTTGATGTTTTTGAGCTCGGAAACGATGAGATTTATGGATCCAGGTTGAATTTTTTGTGGATTTTTGTTAATGGATGGTGAATTTTGGTGTTCGTTTGAACTAATGGATTATTGTTTTATGCATAATTACGTTGAAGTGTTGGAGTAGATCTAGCTGGATTGAAAAAGTTACAAAATTGTTTGTTCTTGATTTAACTGTGTAATGATTGAGGTCCGTAAGTGATTAGATTGATATATTTGGCTGTGTAAATATACTTGTTTGAAATTTATTTACATGATTTCGTTTACATAAGGTGAAATCGAAATGAAAGATGAGAAGAATTACAATGTTTAGTATTTTTTATCGATATTAGGGTTTAGTACGATAATTTGATGAATTTTGTTAAGAAATGGAATTTCCTAACATTGAGGAGATATAGATCTTGCAACTGTTGTGGTATCGTTTCTTATGGCAATGTCATAAGAATTGTTGGCTGTATTGCAAAGAAACTATCCTTTATAAATGTTATGATAATAATCACTGCACAGCTTGCTGCTAGTTTCTATTAAATTGTTGTGTCATTTGCTAATTGCGCGACGTGCCAATGCCTTGTTTGGAAGGAAATAATTTTGTGTGGTGATTGAACATTGTCACGTGATATAATCAATCCATGTGTTATAATATTGGGTGAGCGGGTTTATATGTTAGGTTTTGTGTTATTATAACCAATTCACGCAGGTGGATTGATTATGCCACGTTATGTGTTGCTACGCAATGATTTCTTGTTTTGAAGCACTACGTTATTATCATTTACCGTATGTGCTACTTACATGTACTAACATGGAAGGATCTGCATTACAGGGTGCCTTTTTGCAATTTCCATTGCGAAAGAAGAAGCGACCAAGTTGGGAACAGTCATTGGAATTGATCTTGGAACCACTTATTCCTGTGTTGGTGTTTACAAGAATGGTCACGTGGAAATTATAGCCAATGACCAGGGTAACCGTATCACCCCCTCATGGGTGGCCTTCTCTGACAGTGAGAGACTGATCGGTGAGGCTGCTAAGAACCAGGCAGCTGTGAACCCTGAAAGGACTGTCTTTGATGTCAAGAGACTTATCGGACGAAAGTATGTGCTTTTCTTTGTATGTTGATGATTTAAAATCTTTTGAGCAGGCTGGAAGTTAATACTGATTGGTGCTTATTCTTTGGCAGGTTTGAGGACAAAGAAGTTCAGAAAGACATGAAGCTTGTTCCTTACAAGATTGTTAACAGAGATGGAAAACCTTATATCCAAGTGAGGATCAAGGATGGTGAGACCAAGGTTTTCAGCCCTGAAGAGGTCAGCGCCATGATTTTGACCAAGATGAAGGAAACAGCCGAAGCATTCCTTGGGAAGAAAATCAAGGATGCCGTCGTTACTGTTCCTGGTGAGTAAAACATATATTTAACCTAATATCCTACCAAGTATATATGATTGTATTGGTCATATATCTGACATTGTTTTCCTTTTCAATACGCAGCATACTTCAATGATGCCCAAAGACAGGCAACCAAGGATGCCGGTGTGATTGCTGGGCTGAATGTTGCTAGGATTATCAATGAACCAACTGCAGCCGCCATCGCATATGGTTTGGACAAGAAGGGCGGTGAAAAGAACATCCTTGTCTTTGACCTTGGTGGTGGAACTTTTGATGTCAGTATTTTGACAATTGATAATGGTGTTTTCGAGGTTCTTTCCACAAATGGAGACACTCATTTGGGAGGTGAGAAACCTCTCTGTTTAACTACTTGCTTATATTTTATCATTGTGGTCGGTTGCTGACGTATGTGTGCTTCTCTGCAGGTGAGGACTTTGACCAGAGGATCATGGAGTACTTCATCAAGTTGATTAAGAAGAAGCACGGAAAGGACATCAGCAAGGACAACAGAGCCCTTGGAAAACTCAGAAGGGAAGCTGAGCGTGCCAAGAGAGCACTCAGTAGCCAGCACCAAGTCCGTGTGGAGATTGAATCCCTTTTCGATGGAGTGGACTTCTCTGAACCCCTCACCAGAGCTAGATTCGAGGAGTTGAACAATGACTTGTTCAGAAAGACCATGGGACCTGTGAAGAAGGCTATGGACGACGCTGGCTTGGAGAAGCGCCAGATTGATGAGATTGTGCTTGTTGGTGGAAGTACCAGGATTCCCAAGGTCCAACAGCTTCTTAAGGACTACTTTGATGGCAAGGAGCCGAACAAGGGTGTGAACCCTGATGAGGCTGTTGCTTATGGTGCCGCTGTACAAGGAAGCATCTTAAGTGGAGAGGGTGGTGAAGAAACGAAAGGTAATACTCATTTCTCTTCTTACACAGATAATTTTGATATATTTGATAAAGCGGTAATTAGATGAACTGCTGTAGCAACCACTGACAAATGTTTACTGTGGTATTCAGATATTCTTCTCCTTGACGTCGCACCACTCACCCTCGGTATTGAAACTGTTGGAGGAGTGATGACCAAGCTTATCCCAAGAAACACCGTGATCCCAACCAAGAAATCCCAGGTTTTCACCACCTACCAGGATCAGCAGACAACCGTCTCCATTCAGGTAATTGTTTTTTGTCAATTTGATGATGATAAAACGATTAGTTTAGTGTCTTCATGCAAATGGATATCGGTTTCTTAATGGATTCTATCCCGCTTTGATCTCAGGTCTTTGAGGGTGAAAGGAGTCTCACAAAGGATTGCAGGAACCTCGGTAAATTTGATCTTTCCGGAATTCCTCCAGCTCCAAGGTCTGTATACGCTGGCATTCAATCTTCCCTTATGATTTGCCACCCCTTTGTTTCCAATGATTCTAACAGTATTTCATTCCTCTCTTGTGAACAGGGGAACTCCTCAAATCGAAGTCACATTCGAAGTGGATGCCAACGGTATCCTGAACGTCAGGGCAGAAGACAAGGGAACTGGTAAATCCGAGAAGATCACCATCACAAACGACAAGGGTCGTCTCAGCCAGGAGGAGATTGAGCGCATGGTTAAGGAGGCAGAAGAGTTTGCCGAGGAAGACAAGAAGGTGAAGGAGAGAATTGATGCCCGCAACAGCCTCGAGACCTATGTCTACAACATGAAGAACCAGATCAATGACAAAGACAAGCTTGCTGACAAGCTTGAATCCGATGAGAAGGAAAAGATTGAGACCGCGACAAAGGAAGCCCTCGAGTGGTTGGATGACAACCAGACCGCCGAGAAGGAAGACTACGACGAGAAGCTCAAGGAGGTCGAAGCCGTGTGCAACCCCATCATCTCAGCCGTCTACCAGAGGTCAGGAGGTGCCCCGGGTGGTGCCGGAGCCTCGGAGGAGGACGATGAGTCACATGACGAGCTTTAAAAGAGTAGTTTATTTCATTTTCATCGAACACAGTCGGAAGCAGTGAGGAGAGAGAGGGGTTATAGGTTTAGGGGAAGAAGACTTTTACTGTAATTTTTCCGATGGGAATAGAAGAAGCCAAGGGAGACGAATATCGACTCTCTCGGCTTATCGGGTCTTTTTGTTAGAACATGTAATTTCATTATTTTGATAAAAAAAAAAAAAGGTTCAAAATTTGATTTGTCGTCGGTCTTCATTGCTGGTTAATATCATGCATATGCTATTAAGAGCATATTTAAAGGAAATATTAAATTTTAAACATAAAATTTGAATTTGACAGCTTATGTGGTATTTTGACATCTTTTAAAATTTTGCTCTTTATCCTGTATGTTAAATTAAATATTGTTTTATTACACTATTTTTTTTTTCTTTTTATTTTATTAAACTATTATTTTATGTTCCTTCTTTCTAGACTTCTCCTATCATCTTCGTCGCCACCGAGTTCTCCTTCTCGTCCACCCTCTTCACCTCCTCTCCCTTCCAGTCATTCACCATCTTCATCCTCGAAGTCTCTGAGACGCCTTTCGTCGAACACCTTCAGTGCAACAACTCGGCCTACCTGCTCACCATCAAAACCTTCTATCTGGACTTCCTGATCGACGACCCAAAATGCGATTTGTTCAGATCCAACGGCGGGGATGTTGTCGTTGTTGGGTTTGTGTTGTTTTTCCCAAATTACTCCACCTTTTTGGGGAAGCCAGGGTTTTACATAGAAGACCTGTGTTGTGAGGGAGTGCCATAGGAGGGAGGGGCTGGGGGAAGATGCTGCTCTCAGCGGTGGTGAAGCAGGCGGTGAAGATGACGGCAGAGTGGATGAGCGGCGCTTCTCAGATTTGAGTGAGAAAGGAGAGTTGCAGATAAAAAAATATTTGACTCTGTTGTCAAATTTGACAGTAAGGGGAAGAGCTGCTATTCCATGTCATGCCACATCAAGTTTAGCTTCTTATTTGGAAAGCATTGCAACTATCTTTTTTTTTTTACTGCTATTGCTGATTTGGACATTTTAACATCTTAGTTGAAGGTTCTCTAAGTTATTCATTAATTAATAATTAGTAGGGCTTAAAAGATGATTAAATGCATGCATAATCTGCTTTACGTCACATCTGATGAACCAAGTACGAGTCACAATAAGAGAGAGTATTTATGTGCCCGTACAGCCGTTTGTTCCAAAATTAATAAGAAAATATAAAAAGAAGTTGTTATTAGTATTTTTGTTGAGAATTGTTATTAGCATCTCAAAAATCTCATTCTACACTCTAAACTTTCTATATTAGGAAAGAAAAATACAGTTGTAAGGAGTGTAAAATGAAATTTTTTTAATACCAATAACATTTCCCTTTTTGTTTTTAATTATAGAAAGTTTGAAGTGCAAATGAGTACGAATAACAATTCTCTTTTAAAATACACGAAATTGTATGATTAGTTTTAAAAAACATGCCCAGTGTAAGTTCATTCTCCACGAAATCTCTTTTGTAGGTCACGAATGAATAAATCTACAACGTTTTTAATTTTTATTTTGGGTTTAGAAAGGAATTTTTATTTTGAGTATTAGAAAGGAAAGACTCATGATGTCAGCAAATAGAGATAAATGCTATTAATCGCTTAAGAAGGTCGTGACGACTGACGGGAGCAAAAGAAAACTCCCACTTCTCTTTCAGAAAAATGGAATTTTCAGATCTTTTTAGGGGAGCAAAGGAAAGCATGACCTTGCTAACATTGGCTCTTAGGCTCTTGTCGACGGGGTTCAAACTCTCGAGCAACGATTTCTCATTTCTTGTGCTACAAGGCTACCGGGGTTTTAACTCTCGAAAAATAATGCATGTGCAATAATTTCCGACATTAGCAAAATTATCAATTCTAACCACCATGAATAACGTGAATCATTTATTAGATTCAATGAAATTATGTACGGAAACCTTGCATGAGCAATGAAGGTTTCATACACAGCTACAAGAAATTGAATATATATGTATTTTTTCGCTTGTTAGTTTATCATTTTTTTTCCTTTTTTCTCTTTCGAAGAAAGAAAAGGAGGAGGAAGAGGAAGACGAAGAAAATAAACCCTAGAGTCCAACATTTGGATGGCCTGAGCCTGCTGCCACAACTCCCATCCCACCTGCACCATGTGGAGCATCAACCAACTTGGCTTGGTCACTTGAATCTCCCAAATGAACCCTGTCACCGCCCAACTCACGTACGAGATCATCAATCTTCCGGAACTGATATGGCCATCTCGCATTGTATAGAAATTGGCGAAGGTCAAACCGATTATCCTCGGGTGAATAACTCTGCATGAAGTTGAAATAAAATGAGATATTCCATTTGATGCTTCAGAACACGGATAACATTTCAGACTGAACTTTGTTTCTTAAAGTTGTCATGTTTATACCTCAGCGTGATAGGAAGGTGTTAATACGGTCATTTTGTGTCGATTGATAGAGTAGTACTTGAAAAAGTGCTTCACTTTCTCAGCCACTTCTCCTGGAGTCAATTTTGCACCCCATCTGTAGCAGAGATTCTGCAACAAGGAAATCGTATTATAAGATGAACGTCCTTAGAGAACTGCAAAAGATTTCACTACTTTACGGAATTGACAATGCAACAGGTAAACGTGTCCTCTGAGAATTCCATGTAAGAAAAATACTATTTGATGACGGAAATGGGAATAGACGAGCCCATACTACTTAAGCGGTTTCCAGAAAGCATTAGACTAACCTTGAACATGGACATGGGACCACAGCGGAAAATTTTGCGCATCCTTCCATAGACGGAGAGTTCCTCATACGTCATTCCCATGTCTACTTCATCCAGCTGTTATACACAGAACGAGTTATTAAATTCACCTATCTCGTATGGATAGGACAGGTGCCAGGACTTGGGAGCAGAAAACATTTTCTGCAGGTACTCCCCCCTATTACATCTAACATGTTTCCAGGAACAAATTTTACAGTTGAGGAAAAATTATTGATAATGCAATTGGATAGGTAAAGACGAGCTATTACCTGACTATAATTGGAACGTATAGGCTCCAGTTCAGCAGTGGGTGGAGCTGCTTCAATATCTGCCAGTGAAGCATAACTAAGATGCGTGGCAGCCCATCGCAAAAATGCCCGAAGATCCTGCTTACTAATGCTTCCAATAGGATTTATATCAGCTGCGCTGCAGTCATACTGTGCAGGAAAAAGAAGAGTACTCAGATATAAACAAGAGTACTCAGATATAAACCAGTAGGCAGATCAAGTTTATTAAGATACGACAAACTGCCCACAAGTAACAGAATTTATTAGCATACACCACAAGAAAAAATTATACAATACCTTGGTGAGATAACCACGCAATGCTTCATCCACATTGGAGCTACCCAAAACAAGATAAAACCCAGGTTTGTTATGAACCCAAGGTAGTAGTGATGCAAACATAAAAGCCAGCACCATCCTTATTCTAGCTTGAATGTTTTGCAAACCTAAGTTCTCACTGTTAGATCCGCCATCTACCTATCAAAATAAAACGAGGTTGAGGATTCAATTTAAAGCACAAATATTTACAGTTTTAATGCAATTATGATCAAATCCCAATTACCATTATATAGACATTCAAACATGACAAATGGAGTAATTTGATGCCAGACAGTTTTTACCTTGTATTTTGGTCGTTTTCCTGTTACTGTTTGAAACAACGACAGGAGTGCGGAAACAACACCATCTATGGGAACGTCAAGATGCCATGAGCCAATTTCATCTGCTAAAACTTTTGCCCGTGACTTTGTTTCTTCAGAGCTGCAAGGAACAAACTACATTAGTATCATTTACGAGCACATACCTGCATGATGTTGGGATATTTAGAAATCCGCTGCAAGTCTACAACGGAAATTTCACTAATTTGTAAATAATTGGTTCTCAGGCGTTACTAAAATCCAAAGAAGGAAAAAATTATGATGCCTTCCCCATTTTATTTTATTTCATTTTCATATTAAATGATGACATTCAATGTTCAATAGAAACCACAAAACATTAAATGTTAATCTTGTTGTAGCATCCAAGAGAAGATTTTGATGCTCCTACCTGAAAAACAGTTAATGCACTGGAATTTGCAACATAAGGAAATCAGACGCACACAGAATAGCGCATGGCTCACACAAGGAAATAGTATATGTGTAAACTGAACCCACCTGTTTTCAGATCCCATAAAAACAGTATAAAATACGCGTTTTGCGAATTCTTTGCTGTCAGTAGGATACAGTCCATTCTTGTATTGTCCAATCCGTATCGCGTCAGCTTTGACTTGTTCATCCCCATTTGCAATTTCTGCATATATGCATCAGAAATGAATGACACACAGTCAGAGGACAATATTTTCCCGGTAGGATAAGAGAGATGTCGTTTCTGCCTCTGCACCCTCACTACTAGTATAAGTTCAAAGGAGGGACTACCTGATACCTCTGTTCATCCTAACCTAAGATACTGGTTTTATGAGTAAGTTGTGAGCTAAGACTACTCAAGTTTAATTGAAAATATTATGGTTCAAAATATGGCATATGTATTTCTACAACAATAGTATTTGAAAGGCAAAGGATCAATGCATGTAATGTTTATCATACGCCTGTAAAAAATGGTTACAGACCCCATCTACCCATCCAGTAAGTAGTCCTACATTAAATGCAGTGCATAGCCCAAAAGTCAATGGCAACAAAAAATGAAATTATTGTACACAAATTTAAGATTGAAAAACTAACCTTTTACTACAAGCTGGCACATGCAACCAACTATAGCAGCTACTGCGGAGCTATCAGCTCCACCAGAAAGAGGAAGCAGAAACCCAGAAGCTCCACTTCTTCTTAAATAGTCCCATAGCCAGCAACCAGGACCAAAGGCTATTTCCTCCTCAGGAGAGTGATACTTAATCTGCAAATCATAAGTTATATTCAATTGTATTAATAAAAACCATGTTTACTAAGTACTGTCAAAACATCACAGCTTATCCACATAACTAAATTTTCAGGTGAATTTAAAATTTAAACGGAAGTCTTCCAAAGAAACCATGATAAATTTTTGTTATGGGGTCAGAAATACACATAGATGCGAACTATAAATATTTTTAGGCAAATTCTTGATAAACCAACACTGAGAAACCAAAGGATTTTCTACAACGTTTCAATAAATCACTACCCTTTTGACAAAATAAATAAATAAATAAATCACTACCCCAACTACTTGAGTTGGTCATTGCTAGAACTGGAACTCACCTTCAGAGGACTAGAAAGGCACATTTTCAGATTAAAAGACTGACAAAGGTTGTATCGTGCCTCCACGAAAGGAACCCTGGTTTTGCAGCTCGCTTGCTCTTGGAAGCTACTTATCGATCCTCTAAGACTAGCAACCTGCCATTAAGGAAAAAGAAAAGTAAGATATAGTCATTGTAGGAAATTTCAGGAATCTGTGTTAGTAGAAGAAATCCAAATTCAACAAAATGAGCAACCATGTATGTGTTATTTGGTAGAATAAAGACACTGGAATTTAATGTAGCTTTTAAGTGGAACATTCAGATACAAAGATGCTCCTGCACATACAATCTGTGAAAAGAATAACATACCGCTTCTAAATCAATTTGGGCAATCACAACCTCAACATCCTTCAAAGAAAATTGTGAGCCTTGAGCAACTACATCTCCATTTACGACGACACTAGCACATCCATCTGCCAAAAATTAACCATAGTTCAACAACCAGACAAAATTCATTTACAACTTTTTTCCTTGAGCATACAGGGCTGATGCATATATTTACTAAGCAAAATGCATAGCCGGACTGAAGAAAAACATCCATCAATTAATGAATTCTCACGTACCATAGTAAAGGCGACCACCATCACACCCCTGGTGATTGCTGTACATGTACACTCCTCCACGAGTGTGAGTAGCGCCTATAAAAGCACGAAGACGAATATCAAGCTTTCTAAGTTGGTGATGACTCCCACTTGCATTCATAAAAACTTCGACCCCATTCAATGCAAGCTCGGCATGAGGAGGACTAGGAGTAAAAAGTTCTTCACAAATTTCAGCAGCAACAGCTCTAATAAGGGAACAATGCTTAAGATTTAGAATTTCCACAAATCAGGTTTTGACTGGAAGAGAATACTATGCTGCAATAAGATTACAACTCCTACAACACTAAGGCTGGCCTTGGAGCCATCTGAATTGAAGCACATTTTAGATAAAGTGATAGGATCAACCAACAACTTCTTCTTGCACAAGGCACACCTTACAATGTGTTATGAATTTACGAATTGTGATGACATTAATACCACAACACGGGCAACTGGTTAATAATCATGAATTGTGTAGTTTACTCAGTATGTCTTATGAAATATCATTAAGGCGATTTTCAAGGGAGCTGCGGCGCTCATTCTTTATATCTAGCAGTTACAAAACTGACGTGGAGGGAAATTTCTAATAATTTATCTCGCCTAACCAATCCTAAGTTTCATTAGATTTGCTACAAAAGCAACATATTATACACAAAGTCGTAATACAACTGACCAACTGACAATAAAGCAAGTAATATTGGTACTTACGTGTCTAGAAACTGTATGTACCCATAACCGAAAGGCACGGATTCCTGCGACAAAGTCTCAGAAATTTCATTTGGCAACTGAAAGTCCACAAGTTGGTCTCTTTGTTTCCACGCCGTAAACCAACGAAGTTCCCTGTAATTACCATCATTCGCAAGCCACATTTTCGGGCGTATCATGATAATCTTTCTGTTCATACAAATTATCTGACAGTTGTAACGCTCCGACCCTTTGATCACAGGCATCCCAAAGCTGCACAATATGCCATCAGTCCAATCCCCAACTAACAGCTCTTCCAAGCATTCCCATCTGCAAAAAAAAAAAAAAAAAAAAAAAAAAAAAAAAAAAAAAAAGACACATTTCTTGATCACCACCAAATATTACCATTAACAATAACTTAAAGTTAAAACCTCCACTGTAAATTTATCTTTTAACAAACTTTTACCACTTAATTCATCCACAAATAAGAACAAATTAAATTTCTGTCTTTCTATCACTTAAAACTTAATTCTTACGCAAAATGCGAAACCCAATTACCAATTTGGTTAATTAACCAAAATAGGGGCTAATCTTATTCTAATTTCACTTTTTTCTTCAAAAACAAAGATTTAACAGATGATTTGAAACGCATGGAGTGAGAACTTACGCATGATTAACAGTGTCAAGCTCGAGGAAATGATCTTCGCAGCCATAGCCAGTGATCTCAAGCTCCGGACCGAGACGAATCACGGCGCCGGCCTCCTTAGCCTGAGCTATCGACTCCTTGATGTTCTTCATATTGCAGTCGTAATCCATAGCCCATTGGTTCAAATTACAGGTTGCGACCTTCAGCAGCCTCATCTCGAACACCTTCAACTCTCCGCGAATTGAATTCTATGGTTTTCTGAATCGATTCGTTGGATGAGAGAATCAGAGAATGCTTGGATATAAAAGCTTCGGCGCCGTGAGCAATGGACTAGTGAACGACAATTGGTGGCCTTGTGTTTCATGGATCCTTGGACGGGTCAACCCGGTCTAGTTATTCCGGTTTTGACACGTTTGAAATTTCGGGGTTCCAGGCTCATATGGAACCGTGAATCGCACGCCTGTCAAAATTCAAATCGGAAGGAGCCGAGATTTTTCTACGTAGATACATAAACTCATATTCTGAATATATTGAAAAAATTGAAAACTTATAGGAAAAGAGGGCAACACGGAATAGGTTGATGTGCAAGTCACATACGGCTGTATTTTTTTTTATTTTAATAAACGATATTATCTACCTTAATGGCTAGGAGAGTGAGTTAAACCTCGTAATGAGTTAATAATAATGTGGTTTCAATTTGCTTTTGGCAATAATCGAGTCTAAGATCTTTTACTTACAATTGAAAATGAATATCACTAGATTGTATTTATATGTGCAATAAAAAAAAATTAAGACCTCATTTTGAAATTCACCTCAAACTCAAAAAATTAAGCCCTAATTATTTTACAAGTTGATATTCTTTATTCTATTATGAGATATTCAGAGGTGGAACTGTTTGGGTCCAAAATAATATGGTTGGGCCGAGCAGCAAGATGTGCTCGGCCCAAGGTAATGACAAATGCTATGGGCCGAATAATAAAACCCTGGCCAGCTGGCAGGGTCGGCCAGATCCTATCCTAAGAAGTCCAGATGAGTAGAAAAGGTCGAGGAAGTCCTGGTGCGACCAGGATTCTCGACCAGCAAGAAATAAAACCTCAAAAGGAGGAAAATTCAGAATCCCAGAAGGGGTAGGATTGTTCGAGTTAGAGGAAAAATGGGACAAGGACTCTCAATCCAAATCCGAATGGGTTTCAGGGAACGAGGTGCTATAAATACCAGAAATTACGCAATAGAAAAGACCTTCAGAACTCAGCATACAATTGCCCTGCGCAAAACCTCTCAAACACCTTGAGATTTTTTCCTTTTCTTTTCCCTGCCGACACACCTTCAGTTTGGATAAAAAGCACTGTGGAAGCACCTGGCGAGCACCTTCAGTTTGGATAAACAGCACTGCTGCCGCAGAATCAACCGACCGAGGAGCACCTTCAGTTTGGATAAACAGCACTGCGTCGAGGTCGACCGATTATCTATCTAAGTCTTGGGCGAGAAGGGTTTTCGAGCCCTTGTTGGTAGAGGTCATCTTACTAAGCCTTTTCGGCATATTAGGGTGTTACGAATTGCATTGCTCGGCGTATTGGACGCCGAGTGGTTTTATGATTGGATACTCGCAAGTAAGCTTCAGGGTTCGGCATTCCGACGGCCGAACTACGTTTACCATCAAGACATATATCACATTTGAGTACCTGTGCCCATATAGTTTGGTCTCAATTCGGCGTGCTTATACTCTTACGAATATAATCACAGTGACCGAATCAGGTTCCGACGACTTGTGAACTCCGTAGAATTAGTAGCTTTGTCTTCAGGCTATAGAACCCAGAGGCCGAGAGCGTTCCTTCCTCGGTCGCAATCGCAAGATACAGAAGTCAACAGCGCACCCAACGCGACATCAAATTTTACTCCTCGGCCGAGCTCGGCCGACGAGTTGGCACGCCCCGCATTCAACTGAAGGACGTAGTTAGCTCATTAGTTACTCGGCCTGCGCGCCACGTAGGTTTTGTAATTTTTAGAGTCAACAGGAACGAACATGGTTTGAAGGTTTGAAGAACTATTCGATGTAATTTGTGACATATTCCTTTTTAGGATAGAACTCATAATTTAATTTTGGTACATGACATTCTTTTTCCTTTTGTCCAGCTTGAAATTTCTGACAAAATTTTTACGGATGCCCATCTAATTGCACCCATCGTACTTTACCTCAAAAACACTGAGAATTTCCCATGCTCCACAGTACTGTATAAAATCCATGGTCATAGATATACGTATTCTCATTTTGACATAATTTTGACAGAGTTAATGAAAATGATCATAGCTACACTTTTTAATGAGTTAGAGAATCAATGGTCATGGAAGTTTAGTTGAATGACCATTACTCCAATTGAATTAAAATTGAAGGACCATTGCTACAATTTTTTCTATATACTAATATGAAAAATAGAGATGAACAATGCCCAACGTTCCCAACCGGGCCAATCCAATCTAGCCCGATTGTTAGCCCTCCGGCCCCGGCCCAAATATATTGGGCCGAACCAAAACCCCGCCAATTTTACATGCCTCTTATCGGCCAGGACGCCGTCGTACCAAGCACCCTCCTTTCTCCTCTCTGCAAAGATAGTAACACTATGTTTGGGTGAAGAAATTTAAGATTACTAAGGAATTTAAAAATGACAGAAATTGAAATGACGAGATTTTATTTTCTAGAATTTGTAAATTTTCTTGTTTGGTTAACCTAAAAGAACAATGGAATTGAACACATAATTTGTTATTTTTAAACTCTCAATCATAGAAATTGAGAAATGACACCTATTTACATGAAATTTGAACTTGGGATTTGGAGGTCCCAAATTCCAAGTTTTTTTTCCATGCGGAAATTCTAAATTTCTATGCTTATGAATCCAAACAAGAGAATTGGTGCCTATTAATTTATAAATTCTGACTTTTACCAAAATTTCATGTTTATTTCCCTCGTCCAAACATAGTGTAAGGGCTCGCCGAGCTTCTCTATCGGTTTCCTTGAATCTCCCAAAACCCTTGCGCAGTGAACCAAACGGATATTTCGTTCTTCTGGATTCGGATTCGGAGCAATGACTGTGGCCAGCTCAGTGGTCCACGAAGTGTTGGGCCGGCGGGCCGAGGACGTCGACGAGCCCATAATCGAGTACATCGTCAACGTCCTCGCCGACGAGGACTTCGATTTCGGCGAAGACGGTGAAGGCGCCTTCGAAGCCCTCGGCGAGCTCCTTCTCGGCGCCGGCTGCGTTAGCGACTTCGCTGAGTGTCGCTCGGTGAGATTTTTATTTTCCTTTAATTTCATTTGGTCTGTTTGGCTGCTCAGAAAATTTTGGAAAGTGTAAAGGAAAGTAAAACTGGTAGCTGTAAAACGTTTATTTTGAATCACGTTGATCATAAACGACTTGGGTTTTTCTGAATTGTTGGGTTTATGTTGTTTGCTAAGTGAAAAGATTTCTGATTAGGCTGCCTGTAGAAATTAACAATGCTAGTTTGTTGATTTCGGAATACGTGGTTTCGCAAGCTTGATTTGTGGGTTGATGTAGGTTTGCAGTATAATAACAGAGAAGTTCGGGAAACATGGGTTGGTTAAAGCAAAACCGACTGTGCGGAGCCTATCAGCACCTGTAAGAATGGATGACGGGATGAATGAGAAGGTAGCTCCAAAGAAGAAGGTTGAGTTGATTGATGGCCCTGTGTTAACTGAACGTGACCGAGCGAAGATAGAAAGGAAAAAGAGGAAGGATGATCGCCAAAGAGAGGTAATGTTTCTACATGAGATATGATTTTGTCAATGAAATTGGTAGAATTTTAGTATGTGAGTTGTATTATTATATCCTAATGTTTAGTGCTTTTTTTTTTTTTTTTTGTGTGTGTGTGTGTGTGTGATATTGAGGAGCAAGATTATTGGTCCATGTTGAGTTTATGTGCTTAGATTGAGGTCATATTCGAGCTAGGCTGTTGTTGGTGCTGAGGATTTAAATATTTGAAAGATTGGTTTAGTTTTTTCTAATTTTTATATTTTCTCCTTTTCAATGTACAGCAACAATATCAAATACATTTAGCAGAAATGGAAGCAGTCAGGGCTGGAATGCCTGTTGTAAGTGTAAATCATGAAAGTGCTGGTGGCCCAAATGTCAGGGATATCCGTCTGGAAAACTTCAATGTTTCTGTGGGTGGCCGTGATCTTATTGTGGATGGTTCAGTAACACTTTCTTATGGAAGGCATTATGGTGAGTGTATTTTCCAGTGTATTATGATCCTCTTGCCTTTGTTTCCAAGTTGAGAGGGCCATCTGTAGTTGTAATATAACTTTTCAGTAGGCATTTGACATTATTGATCTTTTCACGATTCATGAAGGCCTTGTGGGAAGAAATGGTACGGGGAAAACAACTTTTCTTAGGCACTTGGCTATGCATGCCATTGATGGCATTCCTAGGAACTTCCAAATATTGCATGTGGAGCAAGAAGTGGTGGGTGATGATACAACAGCCTTGCAGTGTGTTCTTAACACTGATGTTGAAAGAACTAAGCTTATGGAAGAAGAAGCTAGTCTTCTTGCTCAACAGGTTGAATGCACGTTGTTCTTAATTAGAAGGGAGCTGCTGATGTTGAAAAATTTAACTTTTCTGTTTATTTTTTTTTTTTGGCACCGAAAAAATTTTCTGAATGAATTAGAAGTTTATATTGCTCTTTCACTATGCTTAATAAATTATTTTAACCTGAAGAGGGCACTGGAATTTGAGGACTCAACAGAAAAGGGCAACGGGGAAGTTGAGAAAGATGCCATTGGGCGGAGACTTCAGGAGATATACAAAAGGCTTGAGTTCATTGATGCTGATTCAGCAGAGTCACGGGCAGCTTCCATTCTTGCGGTCAGTTCTCCATTTGTTGCTGCATAAGTCTCGTACAATTATCTGCTTGGCTTAAGCCTGGTCTATGAAATTTATGATGCTTAGGGCTCTGATTCAACTCTCCAAAAACTAGAATAAATAGCGACGAAAAGAAGTGAGGATAGAAGTTATAAATGCCATCTCGTTCTAGGTTGAATTTCTTTGCTGTTATACTAATAATGATATATCACCAAGCCATCAATACTAAGTAACAAATGAAACAGAAAATTCTGCCTGCTGGTGGTGAACTGTGCCATTTAGGTACATTTGGATGGAGAAATGCTTGTCATCTTGTTCTTTATATGAGTTGCCATCCTACTGACAAGGAATTTTACAGGGTCTTAGTTTCTCTCCGGAGATGCAGCGAAAACCAACTAAAGCATTTTCAGGAGGATGGCGAATGCGAATAGCTCTTGCTCGTGCCCTGTTTATAGAGCCTGATTTGTTACTGCTTGATGAACCCACGGTCTATTGTTCATACTCTTTAGTCTGTTCATTTTTTCAGCCAATTTTGTGCATGGTTTTTTTTTCCCACCCTCATGTGTATTTCCTTTTGTCTTTTCAGAACCATCTTGATCTTCATGCTGTCCTCTGGCTGGAGGCTTACCTGGTGAAGTGGC